TGTTTTGGGTTTCACATCTTAAGAAAGCACCAAGGAACTTGCTTTATAAAGTGTATAGAGACAGAATTAGTGATTTAGTAGTTCTATAGGTGTGCAGTCGAGCTAGGCACCTATAATTAACAACAATTTACTGCATGTTATCAAATGGCTGGAAGAGAGGAGCTTTAAATGTTCTCATCACAAAGAAACGATATATTTTTACGGTGATGAATTTGCTAACTACCCTGAGTTGATCACCATACACTGTATACATGTACTGCAGTATAACTGTGGACCACAAATATGTATAATCAATATCTTTCAACAAAAATTTAAATTAAAAAAAAAAAAATTCAAAGACAGAGAGAACAAGAATAGTCCCGAAAAACAGAATCATGCCAGCCCCTCTGTCATGACTGCTGCACATTGGGCCATGAGCCACACAAACCCAGAAGCATCTGCCAAAGGTTTCAGACAGCTGTGCAAGTAGTCTCTGCCATTTGTTCAGCTGTTTTGAAATGAGAGAGACATATATTCCCAGGGTTCCACCAAGTAGACTTCTTTGTCAATTCAGAACAATGTGATTAGAATACAAATTCTTTTATTAGTTATGATTTTGTCACTCTGAATATATATTAACCTGGATGAATTCATCTGCTGCTTATTTTTGCAATGAGTGGAGGTGAATAGAATACATCATGCCATATTAAAAAATGGATAATGCTGAAGACATACAAATAAATCACTCTTTCCACCTAAGAGCAGAGTTGCTGCATAGAGAAATAAGTGCCTCCTCACCTAGCAATTCAAATGTCTTAAATATAATTTTTCAACATTCCATCACTTTTCTTCCTTGCATATGAGCATCACAATTTCAAGAAAAATGATTTAATAGTGAAAACTCAGACTGCAGCACAGCCAGATCACCTTACATATATGAACATGGTTATTATTTTCTGGAAATGAATTCGTTGGACTTGTTAAAAATGTAAGCTGCTCCCTTCCACCAAAGGAGGGAAAAAGGAAAAAAGGAAAAGAAAACCTTCAAAAAAAAATTATAAAGGCTTTTACTGACTGTTATTCATTGCCTTTCACACTTTTTTTCTGTAGACTCACCGTGTGGGAGCTAATTATATTAGTTATCTTGGGTAACAAACTATTAATTTAGTGCTTCAAAATGATCTATCACCTTTCTATATATGGTTCACAGGCAAATGAATGGCTTTAATCCCTGTATTAAAATGCAAAACGAACCAAATAAACTCATGTTTCATGACTTTCCAAAGTTTTTATATGAAATACTTATATAATGCAAGTAATTTCCTATGGATAATATCTCAGTGGATTACTTCCTGTATGGAGATTTTGCTATTATTACATAATTTTATGGCAATAGTTTCCTAATTTTATGGATATTCAGAGACCTTTGAGCTATTAATAAGTCAGAGAAATAAATCATTATAAATTTCCCATGGAGTTACCAGTACGCTAAACTACTGTTTGCTCTTGTTAGAGCACAGAGACCGTTAAATGCAAATGAGTATCATGATTGATGGCTATAACTCTTTTATTTACTGTAGTTATTTTACACGTGTAATGCTTTTTACAAGTAAAATGTCCTTTGATAATTGGGAGATAAAGATCATCATCTTTAAAATTCTCTCTCCTGGGCCGGCCCGGTGGCACACTGCTATAGTGCGCCACTTGGGAGTGTGGTGGCACTCCCGCTGAGGGTTCGGATCCCACATACAGACCGGTTCCCACTCACTGGCTGAGCGAGGCGCGGGGGCAACACCGAGGGTTGCGATCCTGTTGCCGGTCCCGGTCCGGTACGGGGGCGACACTGAGGGTTGCGATCCGTTGCCGGACACGAAAAAAGGAAAAAAAAAAAAAAAAATTCTCTCTCCTGCTATTTTTTGCAATGACAAAATATATGGAAAAATGTATATTTTTAATAAAATAATTGTGTAAAAGCTATTTGAAATAACTCAATGAAAATAAAGGCTGAGTAGAAAAACAGGAAAAAATACGCTTATAAAAATTGTACACTTATGGTAAGGGCCATAAAATATGAATGATTTATTCTTGGGTGGGAAAGCTCAGTTCTATATTATTTCTGTAGGCTCAGTACAATCCCAATGAATTCAATAAAAGATTTTTCTTGAGAACAGGGAAAAGGTAAGATTTCATGAATTTAGATGAAGGAATGGATGTATAAGAATAGTCAATAAATTTGTGAAAATTAAATTTTGCTGAATTAAGGACTTTCAATTCTAATAATTATTCTTAATTAATAGGACAACTGTGCGATGGATGTTTATGGTAGCACTTTATTGTGAAAAGCTGTAAACAAACTCTCAATGTTCAGTTGGTTGAGTACATCATGTCTCATCCATACAATAAAACACTCCTCTGTCATTAAGAAAGATGATAGGTTTCTGAATTTATTTTTCAATAAAAGGTGTTAATTACATATTGTTAAGTGAAAATAGAGAGTTACAAAATAGTATACAAGATACGGTTTAATTTTTTTAACATATACAGAAAAAAAATCTATGGATATATATCAAAATATTAAATGTGGTTTTCTCCGGGTAGTAGGACAAAGAGTGACTTTTCAGCTTTTATAATTTTTGACTTTGTAGGAATTTTCCATTATAAAGATAAATTATTTTTATAATCATAAGAAATCATTTGAACATTTGTGTGTGGAAATGTATAGATATCAAATAAAATAAAAGTGAAAAGAAGTGGATACAGACAGCTTCTGGAAGAAAAAACAAAAAACAAAACAACAACACTGAGAAGAGGGTTTCTATGTTAGAGATGTTGCTGCTTGTCCATTTGTTAGTGTACAGAGAGACTCACTGGGATACAGGATACTGCATGGAGGAAACACATATGCTTTAATTTCCTAGTTTCCAGTCTCCTTTTCTTATCATTTTATTGTTGACATCAAGGTAAACACAATAGTGATGAAATCTCAGTTTATATCACTACCACCTACTGCAGTTCTTATTAAGGTGAAGCTATAAATTAATGCTGTATTTGCTTAACTAAAAGTAATAATCCAGTAAGTACATCTGTTGATGTGAGCCATACTACAATCCACCTCACTGATTTCTTATACGAATTTTACTAAAGAAGAAAAAATGTATGGTAATGTTAGCTACTATAATGTATATAGTTTGAATCCTTTTAATGAAAACCTTAATTTGCCTAGTTCTATTTCCATGTTTTAAATAACAGGTTGAAATAAATATTATCTAAAGTGAAAATTCTACTGAATAAAAATATTTGGCATAAAAACAATGTAATAAAAAAACAACTTTAATTTATGGAGTATTTACTATGCGCCAAGCATAGTTCTAAAAGTACTTTATGTGTATTCAGTCAATTATTCCACAAAGCAACCAATGTGATAGGTGCTATTACCATGCCTCATTTCATTTATGAGAAAACAAAGGCTCAGGGAGCTAATAAGTCCTTTGCCCAAGGTCACATAGCTAAAAAGTGACAGAGCAAGGTGCTAAACCCAGACCACTTATTTTTTGCAAACTAAAAAATTTAAATAAGCTTTTAATTTTAGAATAGTTTTAGATTTATAGCAAAGTTGCAAAACATAGTACAGAGAGTTCATATATACCCTTCACCAGTTTTTTTTTTTTTTTTTTTTTTTTTTTTTTTTCCTGTCCGCC